GCTGTCCTCACCTGCCACCAACGTTCTAACAGGAGTAGGCTTTTCATATTTTTTGTTCTCTTTCTTTGGGCATTCATTCTTCCAGTGTCCAGTCCCTTTGCAAAATGCACATTGGTTCGTGGCCAGGGGTGGGTCTCGGCAGGGCCTGTCATGTTGGTCTGGTCTCCTTCCTCTCCCTTTCCCTATGTCCCTCTGAGCTCCAGCAAAGAAAATCTTTGCTAACTCCTTCTGATTTTGTTTATTCTCTTTAGCTTGGAATGCTTGTTCCTCCCTCCGTATTCTTTCCTCCCTTTCTTCTGGGGTTTCTCTAGTATTATACACCTTTTCTGCTACTTTCATTAAGTCCTGTAGGGTCTGTTCACCTAATCTATCTATCTTCTGAAGTTTTCTTCTGATATCAGGGGTTGCTTGGTTTACAAAAGATAGGACCACTGCTGCTCTACTCTCATCGGCTTGTGGGTCCATAGGGGTATACAGTCTAAATACTTCCATCCTCCTCTCTAGTGCTGCAGGGCTCTCCATTGGCCCCTGCCTGACTGAGTTTACCTTGGCCAAATTCGTCGGCTTCCTTGCCGCCGCTCGGAGACCGGCCATTAGAATCTGGTGGTACTTTTGGAGATGCTCCCTACCTTCTGGTCGCTCAAAATTCCAACCGGGACGAGATAACGGGAACCCAGCATCAATTAAATTCTGAAGCGTTGTCAGCTGCCCATTGTCTCCAGGCACATTTTTCCTGGCCTTGGTCAAGATTCTCTCTTTTTCTTCAGTGGTGAACAAAACCTGCAATAGCTGCTGACAATCATCCCAAGTGGGGTTATGAGTAAACACTATAGAATCTAACAAATTAATTAGGCTTTGGGGGTTTTCAGAAAAGGGGGCATTCTGTGCTTTCCAGTTATACAGGTCCAACGTTGAAAATGGCCAGTACTGCCAGGTTCTGCTTCCATCCTCACGGGGCGGGCCTATCGCTCTGAGGGACAGCTCCTGGACAGTAGACGATGGAGCTTCAGCCTCCTGGGAGCCCCTCTGGTGTGGGCGGAGACCGGAGGCTGGGCCTGTAATGATGGGCGGTGTACTTTGAGCACTCGCTCCACTTCCTCCCAATACTTGTGGAGCCTGGAGAGGGTGGGAAGGTGACGTAGGGGCATAGGGAGGTGGAGATACATCACTTTCTAGATCTATCAGATTGGGGTGAGTTTGGGAATCAGGCAAAACCGGTGGAACAGCTGCTCGGGACTCAGGTCATCTCGGTTTCTCCTTTTCGCTAGTCCCGAGTGAAGATGCTAACACCTTAATAGAGAGATTTGGAAGAAAAGGTTTTAGCCATGGGGGAGGGTTAGCCACCAAATCTTGCCACACTAAAATGTAAGGAAATTGGTCCAGGTGCCCACAGGGGCCTGGCACTTGGACTCGTTTGAATATGGCTGCGATCACTTTTCCATCCAATGAGCCTTCCGGAGGCCATCCTACCTTAAGAGAGGGCCATTCTGAAGAGCAAAAAGTTATTAGTTTATTTTTCTTAATTATCACAGACAAATTAGATCCTCTGGTTTTAAACTCTGAAAAATGTTCAACCATCAGGGACAGAGGGGTAGTCTGTCCCTGTCCCATTTCAACCTCCTTTAAAAAAACACAGAACAAATAAAAGACAAGTGACCACACAACAAGAGACACCAAAACAGACAATACAAATATCCAACACCCAGAAGAGATCTCGTTCCAGTTCCACAGATTGGAGGTGCTTCCGCCTCTCCCCTGAAGGGGGCTACTCTTACCAAAAAGCGCCCACCGCCCGCCTGATAGTTGGGGAAGGGTTCCTTCCCCAACTCCTCCGGCATGTCTGCAGGTGTCCAGCCTTTCCTGTGGGCCAGTATCCTTACGCAAAGGACGTATTCTGGCCCAGCCGACCTCTTGAACTTCCCTCTATCTCAGGCAGCTTCATTAGTTCCAAATTTTCCTTCCCGGCCAACGCACCAAATGTTGAGCCTGTGTTCGGAAAGGAGTGTCGGCACGAGGAAGCCACCACTGACATGATAATGCAAAAGCAAAAGGAAAGTTTATTTGCTAGCTCGAGCGAGGGTCCCTGCTTACACCGATGCAGCAGCTTGGGCAAAAGACCCCGTGCCCTCTTACTATTACATTTTTATAGGAAAAATATAGGGTGGAGTAGCACCAGGGCAAAGGGGTACAAATGATTGGTTGTTGCTAAGGGGTTTAGGGCAGAGCTCTGAGACATGGGGGGTCGTGTTGGAATCCCCCGGCCCTAAAGTCTGGTTAGGGAACTATTATCTAGGGAGGATGTAAAGCCCTGATGCATGGGAGACTTGCAGGAGCCAGGTAAATCTCTGATACGTGCTGGAATCTGGAGGGGAGATAAAAGCCCTGAGGTGTGGGACATGTTAGAATCCCTGGCACTAAAGGCTTCTGGTTAAAGAATTACCTGGAAGCCATTAGGATGCAGGCCTCACAGTAGGTTTTGAGATCCGGCAATGTGAGGCCTCCTACTTTGTTTTTCTTCTTCAATAGTGCTTTGCTTATCCAAGGTCTCTTTCCTTTCCATATAAAGTTAGTGATTG